GTTTGATTATTATCAAAATAAGGAAAATATATGTCTCCACAATTCAATAATGCATATTCCAATTCCAATATTCCAGTTTGGTTCTGACAAAGCTACTGTATAACAAAGTTGTGGTATGCTCGTTGCAAGCAGTTACCTACAGCGCTCATGTCTCACTCCCCATTGTGCATGCCGCCAATAAGAGTTATTTTAAAACAGGCCCTTGCTTCGTGTGAAAGTAACTGGTAAAACTGGTAAATGCTTTAGAATTTCTAATAAGAAATGCTGAACTCTTGATGGCAGAAAAAAATAATCATTTATGCAGATCTAAAGAAATTAAATTTAAGTGGCCTATTATTGTTGATTCCATCTTTCTATACTTCAATTAACCCCGGTAGTACGCCGCTGTGCGCGAACGACTATCTACCCGATGGTATGTGTAATAATTTTCGCGATGGAGCGGCTTATCTCTCGCGGTGGGGCCCAGGTAGCGGCCCGGCGGTCGGGCCCCTGTGACGGAGGGGCGCCACCCGCGAACGACCTTGGGGTCGACCGCCGCCGCTATGCTCGGAATTCGCTGACTTTGTCATTCCGAAAAAGTCGGTCTAATTCATTAGCGCAGACCGACAATTCGGGGAAAAAGCGAGGGGTCGACATTGGAGGCTCTGCCGCTGATATCTAATCAGGTCAAGAATGAAAATTCGTGGAAACTCAGTAAAGATTCAGGAGATCACGATTGCTTAAATAAAACTTTTAATGTTTCGGGAAAGGGAAGAAAATAATGGAACAAGAAGTGTATGACGATGGTATTTGAAGCTGTACAAAAACAACAAAAAAGTTTCTAATAAACACAAAGGTTCTGACTTTTCAACAAAAAATTGACTAGTGAGAAATTTTTAGTATTACAGGGTGTTACAGGATTAGTTGATTTATTTATGACACAATTTTGGGTTTGTTCCTGTTTATTTGGTTGTTTTGCCACATGTAAAGAAACTATTAAATGAATTAAGGAAGTAAACACTTAAGTGGTCGAATTTTTAAAATAGCTATTGGCGTCAAATTTCCAGGGATCTTAGTGACATCTGCATCATTGGTTGTCGTATATTGAGTGGATATATCTTTAAATAATTAGCCCGAGTAGGCTAAATATGGCATAGCGTCATTGACATGAAAAGTAAGCAACGCTGATCGTGTTTAGAACTTGGATGTGTGATCATCGGTGGAAGGCTCGCGATGCTCTTCCACCTTCTACTGGTCTATATATCGGTGTATTCACAGAAGCTATACAGCTTTAGGCGGGGTTTGTATACGAAGGCATACAATCCCTCAGAAAGGAAGGCAAGTAAAATATCCCACGACAATGTGAAGGTTCGATAAAATTTCCGGGATGAGGGTTGGTCGTCTCCTGGCGTCGGTGTTTAGCCGTGGTAGCAGGAATAGAACGACGTCAGATAACAAAAAAAGCAGCAAGCAATTAGCAATTATCTCAAGTTACATTACTCTTTTTCAAATTTTAATATCCTTTATATCAAAAACGAAACGTTTTCGAGCATTCCTTGAAGGGATTTTGTTTCTTACTTTCACCACCCGAATTCAAGTTTTAATGAGTGGTACATCCATTAAACAGTACCTATATCAGTATATTTGGGTATTTTGCCATTAGAGAATGAAAAAAATTAAACCATTGCTGGAAACACAGAGTGACACTATCACTAAAACATTTTGAAGTTAACACTTTTTTGAGTTACATATCGTTATCAAGTATTTAAATGAATGTAAAAAAATTGTAGGGACGGTTTTTTCTGGAAATAATATGCACCAGTATTAACGTTGCTCCTGCTACTTCCAGCAAATGCAAAGTTTCTACGCTAATGAGATATTCGGACATTCTATGAATACATTGAATTAAAATGAGTGATTCTAGAGTTATTTTAGATTAAGTGATTGATAACGGTAAATAAACAAAATAATTCGAAAATAGTCGTTTTCGTTTTTTCTTTTGAATTGGAAGAGATCTTTTTTTTTAGAAACACAAACCAGGAATTAAGCGTAGTGATATATTTTCTAAAATATCAGCGGCGTCGAATTTCTGGGTTTCTTAGAAATAGTCTAATAATTTATACATTTATTTAGTTAAGTCCTTAGCTCAGGTTTCATCACTTTGGATAAAGTGTCTTCGCTGACATTTTAGGAAATGCAATTTCATTTATTTCGACTCTATATGGGGAAAAAGCATTTATAGATATTTCTTTCCAAATTGATCAGATCTGTCGTCGATGTCGAAGTCCATTAACTTACTATTTTTGAAAAGGTCCCCTTAAATGTAAAATATAAGAAATTTGTCTTGGTCATTCAGTATTTCTAAATACCCGTTTCGATTGTCATTAATTAACAAATTTAGTAAACTAAACAAAGGAGGACGGCCAATAAAGTCGGTTTTGGGCCCTTTCAGAAATTGATAAGGAATATACTTTTTGAACCTAAAGCAAAAATATTAAATCGATTCTAGGCAAAACGGATTAAACCTCTCCACTCGAAACACTCAAAAGCCATTTTTTCTTACATCTGATGCACGGAATCATATAAATAACATTTTTAATGTACAAATTAAGTAAAATATACTTGCTTATAATCATAAAAAAAACAGGTCCTTCCACCCTTTTCAACTTCTACGTAACCTCTGAAGGACAATGAAGAATATCAAAGAGATTTCACAAAAACATTTATCTGTCAGTCTAATATAAACAATATTGAAATGTTTCTACTTCCGTATCTTTTTCTTTCTTTACCTCCATCTTGTTTCTCTAACTTTTATAAACATGCATAAAAATAGGGTTTAAGATGGTTTTACATTATGTAGAATTTATTTTATATTCAATTCTTTACTTAATTGTCTTTTAGAGGTTATGCAGTTGAGCGGGAGGGGAGTCCGGAGAGTGGAGGGGGAAAAGAGTTATAAACAAGTGTTTTTACTTAAATTGTGCCCAAAAATATTATTTATATGATTCCGTACATCAGATGTGAGAAAAATGGTTTTATTACATTCTTAAGAATTTTTTAATGTTCGGGATTAAGATGTGTGCGTATTTCTATGTTTTTGGGACGCTGAAACCGAAAATGACTACAAAAAATGATATCCACTTACTCGATTACCCCCTTCCACTCCCTTACAATCATTTAAAAAAACCAGCAGGATCCATATGAAAGTTGGCTCTTGGTAAATTGCGCTAAATGAACATATAATATAGATTTTCTACACATTATAGACAAATTATTATAATTTTTTACCTTTAGCAGAAGACTTTTTTAGGGACGCCTATGAAACTCATTAAATTTTATTGCTAGGCGTTTTTATACATGTTCAACTGACTTCGGAAAGACTATACCAACAGTTAGCAATCTTGTATGTGAGATTGGATGTCTTTTGCATACCTAGATTTCTGGTATCGAAGAACATTGTTGAACATTGTCATTTAACAGAATTTTTTAGAAAAAATTCTTTCGAATTTGTTTGAATTAGCTTAATACCTTTCAATTGACTAAAAAGTAAAGAAAACGTAGGTAAAACGATCCATATTTTAACACCTACGTTTTATCGATTTCCCAAACACCGACTACTTATACAACGACAATAATATCGAGATTGTCGAGTTTGTTCAACGTGACAACCCCACATAAGCCACTGAACACACAAAAGCAGCGGCGGCGGCGCCCCTTTTGTTTGCTCGATTGCATTAAATAAAAACGAAACGGTGCGTCGAGTGGTTAACTTCCTCGTCAAACTGGCATCGCTTTAATGCTGCACTTTTTTCGATTGTGATTCCAACCCCCCTAGAGGGCGCGCTACCCTTTCATTTCGAACGCGTTGAAGGCAGAATCACAAAAGGCGGTTTTCTTGTCGAAATTACCCCGTTGAATTGCGGTAAAGGGTCTGCGGAACGGTTTATTAAGGCACTGATTGTTGTTCTATTGTTTTGAGAGAACTGCAGAATGTAAATGCATTGTTTTATAAGCTTAAAGACGAAAAACAAAGTGAATTATTAATTGTTCTATAGAAATCCAAGAATATTTTGAACAATGCACTCTTTGGTTCTCAATACGCCTTTTTGGAGAGTTAAGGATTTTTTGTTGCACTCCACATAAAAGTCAGTTCAGTAAAAAGTAACGGACAGTTGTACTGGTTGGAAGAAGCATGCATCGGTGTCTCTTCAAATTTATTTATTTAAATGGAAAGTAACATGAATGTCAACAGTAGAGAGCATGTTGTTTTCTCGTTGACAATATTATAAGGTTTTTTCAAGCTATGAATAAAAAATGAAGGAGTGATTCCTTCTATTCGTATTAAAATAATAAATAAGTTCGTTATTTTTTTAAAACTTAATACACCTTGATCCATTTCAAATAGAAACACCCTTGTAAAAAAAGGGATTTCTAGAGCGACTTAATTCATTTTTTAAAGTCTATTAAATCACATTTGATTTAATAGTTATTTATGGTACTATTAGTATGTTACGGTATATACCGGGTGTCCAAAAAGTCTGGAAACGCTTAAATAATTTTCCAGGTAAATTATTTTTGAAAATATTAAGGTTATTCTTGTAGTAACTTTTGACGAGGAATTCAATGGTGACCTTGAATTTGACCTCAACGATGACCTTGACGGTTATTTCAAGGTCACCTCCACTCTTTTTAATGGAAACCCCCTTTTTCGACGTCGGCAATCGAAAGAGCTGGAAATTTTACGCCCAAAAATTCTTAGGTCATAAATCAGGGTTGACCTTGAAGGTCATTCAAAGGTTATTTAAATTTGAGGGCTGGATATCTCCGAAGGACGCAGTTGATGAAAATAGTACAAAGCTCACTTATTAAATAAATAACACATAAAAACCACGCAGATGTAAAGTTTCCAGTAGGTACTTTTTAAATTTCCTCTGGAGAAGGCAAAGCCACAAATTCCGGAACGTCTGTAGTTCACGATAATATTGATAATAATTTAAATAGAAAAATACAAAAACACTCACCACATTGACGAAGTCTTGAAAGGTAATGGCTTGGGTATTCGAAGTTCTCGATTTCTCTAGCAAAATCTCCCTTTTGCCGGTGTTCACCCTCTGCCGAAAGTCCGGGTCCGACATGGCGTTCACAAAATCCGGCCATGGTATTTCTCCGAAACCTTCCGGGTCGTACTTCAAGAAAGGTTCGTTTAGGCGAGATTACGTTTGTGATGATTTGCTGGTACTTACTTTATCGAAAAATTGTCTCCATTGCTAAAAAAATTATACAGATTATTCTTAAAATGCCTGTACTAGCCAGCCGCTGTACATTTCTTGGATCAAAATAAGACGATTTAGATTTATTTACTTTCAGGGTATTCAAATTTAATTCGGAACACTCGCCAAATTTTAGAGGATCGTACTATTTCGATAATAAGTGTTCAAGAAAAATCACCCCTCAAAAAGGAATCATACACCGCACTCTCTACAAAACAACATTATACAGGGTGTCCCATAAGCACATGATCAAAAAGGTACTGCAACATTCTTTGGCTCAAAAGAAGACGATTTGACCTAACTTCCATTAAGAAAAAATGCCTAGCTCCTCTGCTATTGACTGTCAAAGTTCTTGAAAAAAATATGTTTTTTGTAATATCTGGAGAATGTTACGATGGATTTTAAAGAAACTTGCTGTGGTCTTGTTCCTAAGTAAAACTCATGTTTTGATGAAGCAACCGCGTCCATCTGCCTTGGGCTAGAGGTAAATTCTTGAGTGTCTTGGTACAAGAATTACCAGAACTTTTTATTTGGTTGCTGGAATCAATTCATTTTATTTTTATTGATGCATCAGTCCTTTTTCGAGATTTTCGTGCTCTTGGTAAAATCTTGTAGCATTCATAGTTTTTACGTAAAATATATTTTTTTCAATTTTAGACAATCATTATCACTACTAC